GCCCCTATATTTTTTTAATTTTATTTTCCTTCTTCCTTTTCTTCTCATGAATATGTTGATTTTCTATACTTTAATATGAAATTTATACTTTTCTTATGAAAATCATGAATAATTATAAAAGAAATATGGTTATGGTACCTAGGGAACTACCCTAGGATCTATGTTTTAACATAAAAAATCCAGGTGCAAGCTAGCTTGCTGGTGAAGATTGTAGCTGGCTGTACTCAGCAAAAAGAAGGCAGCTACTTATCAATAAAGGGCCGGTACTTAGGTTTAACTTATGTCCTGGGGCAAAAGCTGAGTACAATAACTTGGAGAAAAGGTTTAACTTATTTGACGGAAAAATTAAGCACTTAATTCAGCTATAAGCATGATGCCATATATAAGCAGGTATAAGTGATTATACATTCTTGCATTTATTTATTTCCAAAGCACTTGTTGCTCCAAGAAAATATAATTGCAATGTTACTTTCTGACATGCATTTTGTTTTAATCTGAATATTTGATTTCCTTGACAAGTCCAGTAAATAGGAGTTTTTTAAATTCAGGGTTTTCTCTGTTTGATACTTATATAGCTAAATTCCTATGGCTTAATCAGGGATGCACATACAGCTGGTCTAATCAAGTATCGTGATCCATATCCATTTGGTGTGGATCCCAGCTGGCGTGGAAGTCGTTCAGAGCTGCCTTTCCTCAATTCCCTCAAAATGAAGATGTCTATTTTGTTAGGTGTGGCCCAGATGAACCTAGGAATAATTTTGAGTTACTTTAATGCAAGGTTCTTTGGCAGCTCATTGGATATATGGTTTGTACTAATTTCTTATTTCTTTTTTCCCATTTCCCCTTTCAGTTTTAGCTCCTATCCTATATCATTGCATGCAAATTTTCTAAAAATTGACAAGCATAATGATTTCATTCTAGCCTCTAAAACTTTGATTTGGGTATTAACTTGATCCTTATTGTGAGATTGTTAACATTATGAAAACTAAGCTACTACTATGGGAAACACTGAAAATCTAAGATCCCCCCAAAAAAGAAATGGTATGATGTGCATCAATGTGGTTTTTCAATTGATTAAAAAACTGAAACAACCATCTGCAATTGGAAATGCATGATTACTAACAAGTGACATGTATTATCTTGTCTATCTGATACAGTAAGATTTGACTTATAATTTAGTAATTGGTCAATGCTCATGATTATAAACTAATACATCCTGTCAAAGAAAAGGAGTAATATTGGCCAGGAGACATTGGATAATTTTTTTCAATTTTTGTATCTAAATCATTTTAGAAAACTAGCACCGTGTATTATTTTAATTATTTTACAATAAATTGCAAAATACAATAAATAGTGAAATATATACATGTTATAGATGCTTTTAATGTAATGGGATGTGGACCAGTCCTTGCCTGATTTTGTTCAGCAGTCTAATTGTGGGACACCAGCTGAGGCTGTAATGTCAGATGTTGTCATGTGTAAATAATTTAAGAAAAAAACAAGGAGAAATTATGAGAATGTCATAATCTGGCTAAGCTGTAAACTTACCTTTTTGCCTATGGCTAAATAAAAAGTCATGATCTTTGCTGAATATAGATTTGAAACCAAAAAAAATGCAGAGATACAATATCAGATTTAAGCCCCAATACCCTCACAAAAAAAAGGAAAAAGTTGCAGAGAAATAAACCAATAAAACAGGGTTTTCCTATAATCAATGCATGCATATTTGAAACAGAATAGATAGAGTAAGTCACCATGCAGGCAGGAGGAAAGAGGTTTCTCTATAATCAGAGAACTAAACTAAAAGATCAATGTCCGGAGAACCGGACTGGGCATAGAATCGGAAAAGAGAGAAGTTCATGGGTTAGAATTTCAACCATGGTCAAACCGGAGGTCGAACCATGATGACATAATATATATGTACATATATATTTTAGGCCAATAAATACTATATATAATATACTTCACAAATATTGTCGTACTTGGATGTGATGGATAAATGGCTAGGTTCCTAATTTTTAAAGCAAATGACCAAGGTTCATGTTTCTCAACTCACATTTTCTTTAAAATGTGTGTATTAAAGCAATATATACATTAAAGAGGCATAAATAAATACAAGTAAAGAGGTTGATTAACGGTAACAAGATAATTTGTACAAATAAAATGTCATGGGTTCGAGTCTTGTTATTATCATTTTCAAATTGCCATTCATTTAGAGACCGGGCAATTTTATAAAACCGGGACCGGTTCATTGGTTATCCAGTTAAACCAGCCAGTCAGCTGGTTCTGATTGGTTTTTCACAAGTTGCAGGTTTTAGGATATGGTCGAATTGGCCAAGGGTCTGGGTCACAGTTCAACCAATCTGACCGGTCGGTCTGGTTTGGTTTTCTACACTGTAAAAGATAATTAACAAAAAAGAGTTTCTTTACAACCACTGCATACAGATTTAGGTATGTTTCCAACCTCTGATGTCCTAAAAGCAAATTTTTTCAGACTTCAGGCTGTTCTTTTAATACGTCTTATTTTCAGACTTCAGATGTCAGACTTGACAACATTCTTATTGTTTATCCCCAGAATGCCCTTCACACATTTTATTCATTATTTATTATTAGTAACACACTCCTACTACACATTGCTAAAAAGCACCAATTTCCAAAGTATTTCTTTCAGAGATTTTTTTTGCTTTTCAGACTTTAGACTAACAGAATGATGAGTAAATAACCTAATGTGAAGTTTTTCACCAATTGAGATTTATTTTTCTTTTGTTTCACCTAGAAAAGAAAGAAAGAAAGTGATCACTCTAATTGCAGAACCCTGGGGGGGCGGGTAATTTGCAGATTTGACTTACTATTATTTTTTCCTTATGTGCCTATTCCTTCTTCAGTTCTTCCCATCTCAGTCCATGATGATTGATAGCTCCAAAAGAAAATAAAGTAGTATCTGTTTGAAATGTTACATCCCCACTTGAATATGGCATCAAAAGTTCTTTCTTTGGTCACTCTCATTAAGTGTAAACGGAAATGCTAAAAACTTCACCTTTTCTAGCTGCTGAAGTGTCTTTACTTATCTTATTTTTCTCTTCTTTCTTAGTTAGGGGTGAAGTTGTCATTTGTTATTTATGTGTAAATCAATAAAAGTGGGCGGAAATTAGAGAGACAAAAGATTCTTGATATCTACTGCTTTCAGTCCTAGTTCTCATTATCTCTCTTTACTCTTTCTCTTTCAGGCTGAGACTTCTAGGGAAGATTTCTACTGGTTTTCCCTATTATTTTATTCTACTCATTTAATTTAAAGACTAGTGATAAAATTCAGATATAGTGTCCGTATGGTTTCAGATAAGAAGGAAAAGAGGAAGAAGGAGAAGGAGGAGAGAAAGAATAGTTCCAGTCGAACTAGAGAGAAAACATATCTTCTCTAGTCGGCCAGTCTTTATTTATACTTTTCTAAATAAACATGAATTACTATTATGCCCTCACTTAAGTGAGAACCACATCAGCTAAACAATTAAACATATAACTTAATATAAAAAGTCTATACTACCCTTCTACAGCCGACTCTAACAACTAGCAATAACCTATATGGTATTTATTTTAAGAGTTTTTTTATTTTGTAAGAATCTGTTGAAACAAAGAAAAATCATTTTATTATGGACAAATACCTACAAAAAAGGAAGCCCTATTCATATAACTTTGTTATATTGTTGTGTGAAAAATAATATTTTTTACCATCTATCATCCAATTGAAACCATAGAAACTTTCCAATGGGTTGAGAGATTGGCAAATGGTCTAATAGATGCTATTTTCTAGACAAGTTCACAGATATCAGCTGTTTAGGGGCTTTGTGTCTTAAGGAATAACATGTAGGGGAAGGAAGAAAGATGTAAACAGGTAGGTAGGCTAGACCTATCCTACACAAGTGGGGTGCTTCAGGGTACATTTCAGACTTGTGTACATTGTGACACATATTTTTCCCGGTATTAATAAATTGATTTTTTTATGGTTGCTGATAAGAAAAATAGAAGTTTACCAATATCTAGTTGTAGAGGCCGTAGTATATCATAGGCTTGGGAGTATGGTTATATCTTGTATTATAAGCATTGTATCATATGTAATGTTTTTGCTCTCTTTTCTCTCTCTGTTACTTATGGATGGCATATTTGTCCTTTCAGCCTCTTGTAACATTTTGATTTTAATATAAATACAAATTCTTTCTTGGGCGTGGCTTACTGTGAACACACCCAGAAACCCTATTCTTTGTCTCGTTCAAATGGTGTTGACATGGTATCAGAGCAGGTCCATATGATCTGGGTTTGATTCTTGACATTCAAAGGGAGATTTAAGGACTACAGATTGACTGCTGTGTACTTCTCTACGAGACTTTTGGAGCTGTATTGATCAGTCATCAGTACGAAGCTTCACCTTTTTCTCAGGAAATCGCAGGTCAGATCTGTATTTTCTCTCTTTCTCTCCTTTGGACCGTTGGATCTGGCTAGGAATGTGGATTCTATGTCGCTCTAGCCTTCTTCTCTTTCAGACTATCAGATCTGGTCTTGTTTTCAGTCGAATCTTGTAGGGTTTTGATCCCTCTCTTCCTGCTGACAGTGCTAAAAGTTGCCTTTTTTGGACTGATACATATTGTTTCTTGGTTATTTGGGTTTTCCTCTAGAGAAGTGAGGGATTTTGGTGCTTGTGCTTCTTCTCCTTGCTGGTTCGTCTTGTAGTGTCCTTGTTTGTTGGTGAAAACACTGTTTTAATGGCTTCGAACAGGAAAGGAATGCTACCAGTTAAGTTCAATGGAAGTAACTACACATTATGGAAGTTTCATGTTGAGTTTTTATGGAAGGACAAGGATTGTGGGGCTACATTGATGGTTCAATACCTAAACTAGGTGAATCTGATGGTAAGGGGCTGAAACAATGGAAATTTGACAATGCTAAAATTGTTTTGTGGTTTCTTGGATCGATTGGGACAGATATTGCCATTCCGATGAGAGGTCTAAGGATGGCTAAGGAGATTTTTTATTATATGGAGAAGGTTTATCAGCAATCAAATCTATCTAGACAGTACCAGATTGAAACTGAAATCTTCTCCTACAATCAAGGGGAGAAAGACAATATAGGAATACCATGCTGGGTTTGTAAACTTGTGGACTAAATATGAATTGGTCCATCTGGGACAATCTTTGACAGCTTATTGTGTCAGCAATGAAAGACTATGTTGATAATAAAAAGATTATGCACTTGAGACCTAAATTTGAGGCGATTAGGTCGCACTACACCTAATCTTGATTCTATCTTGGGAGAGCTTCTTAGAGAAGAAACAAGAATGATTACTCGGTCCACCATTGATGGGAAGCATGACATTGGTGCTGAAACTGTCTTTCTTGCTAATGAGTCCAAACTCAAAAGGGACTTGTCTCGGGTTCAGTATTATGAGTGTAAGGAATTTGGCCATGTAGTTTCCCACTGCAAAAAGAAGAACACATGTACCTATTATAAACAACAAGGACACATTATCACTGAGTGTCCCACTCGACCACTTAAGGGACATGCATCAACCCCAAAGAAGAATCTGCACAAAGCCTATCGGTCTACTCTTGAGGGTCCAGATGATGCATTTGTTTCTTTCCAGACTTCAGCTAAGGGAGAGTCCTCTAGTGCCCTGACTGAGGAAAAGATGCGGCAATTGGTATCTACTACAATTTCTTCTGCATTTTCAGCCATTGGTCTGTCTGGTAAGTCATCACCTCATTGTCCTAACCGAAGCCACCTTTGGATATTTGATTCAGGTGCCTCAGATCATATGACAGGGGCATATTCTGGTCAGTCTCTTAAACCTTTATCCTTTACTAGACACATTGTTACAACCAATGGTGAAAAACTTGAAATCATTGGATGTGATGATTTGACCTTGCCTATGTCTACTAGTTCTCACTTTCATCTGTTGGTCAATTAGTTGATGATGGTAACATTGTCTTTTTTTCTTATGATGGTTGTTTAATCCAGGACCGGCACACTGAGATAGTGAAGGGGAAGGGGCATAGGCTTGGCCGGTTATTTGCTCTAGAAGTCAAGAATATGAAGACACCATCTACCTCACCTTGTTTGCTTTCTAATTCTTCTAATTCGGGTATTGTTTGCAAAAATAATGAGTGGCATCTTTGGCATAGACATCTTGGCCACCCTTATCCTAAGATACTGGAGTTTTATTTCATACTAGCTGCCTATCTTCTAAAGCTACTACTTTTGTTAATGCTGATAAGTCTTGTATTACATGTTGCTTGAGTAAAAGTCATATATTGTCATTTACTTTTGTTGTTGAACATTTTACTATTCCTTTCAGGTTAATACATAGTGATGTTCAGTCGTCTCTTTTAACTTCTACACTGGTTTGCAAATATTCTTTTCTTTTCATTGACGACTGCACTTGATTCACTTGGATCTATTTTTTGTGCAAGAAATCAGATGTGTTTCCCTCATTTAAATTGTTTCAGGCTTTTGTTAAGAATCAGTTTAATGCTACCATTGGTACTTTATGTTTAGGTACAGAGGGAATACTATGATGGGGAGTTTGGAGAGTTTCAAACATATTTGAAAAAAAAAGGAATTGTTACTCAAAAGTCATGCCTAGGAACTCCACGACAAAATGGGGTAAAGCATAAGAACAGACATATTTTGAGTGTTGTAAGAACCCTTCTCCAAGATTCCCATGTTCTTACTTCCTTTTGGGTGGAAGCGTCTGTAGAGAAGATGGGTGATGGCCCATAGGCTGTTTATCTTTTTTTATGTTTTATGTTCTTTGCTGTAATGGGCCTTAATCTGGGCTTTATTCTTTCTTATGTTATGTTTTTTAATTTTCCGCCCAATTAGGGGTCTCTCTGTAAATTACTAAAGTTTAACTTAATGAAATAGAACTAAGGGAGTAAGAGAGGAGGTTATGTTCGAAGATCTCTCTCTCTCTGAACCCTAGTTGCCACCACCTTCTTCTTCTCTCTTCTTGAAACCTGATTTCTGCTACTTTCTTTTGGTTTTCTGCAACTTTTTAAACAGTTCTTTCTTTTCAAAAGGTTGTTTTTTCTTCTTGGTATCAGAGTAGGCTCGACTTTTCCCTCTTTTCACCCCTTTTTTTCCCATACACAGTGTGTATGGAGAACTGAATCGTATGAGTAGTTAAAGAAACCTTTTTCACCCCAGTTGTTAGTGGTTTCTGAAGAGAAGGGGATTGGTTTTGTCGTCCTCCTGACAAATTCAAATGTGTTGCTTGAAACCCTAATTTTCTAGAGAAATCTGATTGCGAGCCCCACAGGGAGTTTGACCCGAGCGCTCAGTGACCGAAGGCCTTCTCATCCTTCATCTTGAAGATCGAATCAAGTGGATTGGTGTTCTATGAAGTCTACAAGGAGCGGCTGAGGTTTCTCTGTTTCTCCTGGCTTCCGGGTGTGACGCAAGTAGCTGGTACGGCTGCATAGAGGTTGGCTCATAACACAGTTTGTGTTCTGTCTTCATTTGTTGTTATTTGAAGTTGTTAGAAGTTATTTTCGAAGTATTTAAGAAGATGAACCCTTCAGAAGTTGAAAACAAGCATGTTGCTAAATCCGGACAGGTTTCGAGAGCCTCTATAGACTCTCTACTGGTTGTGACCACAGTCAAGCTGGATGGAACTAATTATCTAGCTTGGTCACAATCAATAAAAATTCATATCCAAAGTAGAGGCAAATGGGGTTTTATCTCCAGGAGAAAGAAGGCTCCTTCGGAAGACGATCTACCATATGAAAAATGGATGCAAGAAAATTATACTGTTATTGGATGGCTTGTGAACTCAATGCAACCGTAGATTAGTCAACACTATTTGTGGATGAATTCAGCAAAGGAAATTTAGGATAGTGTTGCTGAAACCTATTCCCAGAAATTAAATGTGGTTAGGGTTTACAAGCTGAGAAGTGATGTGAAGAATTTGAGGCAGAGGAAGAAACCATTAGCTGTATATTTCTCAATACTAAAATCTTTATGGCAAGAAATTGATTTGATAGAAGTTGTAGCCTGGGACACCACTAATGATGCTAAGACCTACAGGAAACTTGTTGAGAGAAACAAGGTGTTTGAGTTTTTGACAGGGCTGAATCCAGAGTATGACATCACAAAGCAAAATATTTTATCCAAGGATAGTGTTTCATTGTCTCAAGTCTATGCCTTGGTAAGTAGTGAAGAAAGCAGGAGACTTGTCCAGGTCCAAGGGGCTGGTCTAAATTATCACTTTGCTAATATGGGAGTGAAACCCAAGGGAGTTGTAGGGACTCCAAGTAGCTCAGGGAAGAAAGAAATTATTTGTGAGTACTGTAAAAAGCCAAAACATACTAAAGACAAGTGTTGGAACTTGCATCTTGAGCTTCTTCCTCTTCGGTTTCAAAAGAAGTCTGATAATATGAAGGCAGGGAGTGCCAATATTGTTGTTGGTTCAAATAGTGATAGATACCAAACTGAAGAGATGATTCCTAGTGAGCAGTTAGCAGCTATGAAGGCAGAATATGAGAAGTTTGGGAGGATGATCAGTCACCTAGGGGGTGTGGCCTTTTCTTCCAACCCTCCAGGAAATTCAACCTCTTCTGCATTTGCTCATTCAGGTATACAGTCTTCTGCCAATCATGCAACTATTTCAGGTAATCGTAGGATCCCTTGGATTATTGATTCTGGTGCTTTTGATCATATGACCAACCTTTCCGCTTTGTTTGTTTCTTATGATTTACTTCCTGGTCATGACAAAATCACCCTAGCCGATGGCTCTCTTGCCCCTATCCCCGGCAAAAGAACCATCAATGCTACAAATTCCTTGGTACTTCCTTTTGTTCTTCATGTACCCAAGCTAAATACAAATTTGTTATCTGTAAGTAGCCTAACTAAGTCATTGAACTGTTGTGTAACCTTCTTTCCTTCCTACTGTGTTTTTCAGGATCTGGAGTCTCAGAAAGTAATTGGGAGTAGCTATGAAGCGAATGGAATATATCTGCTAGACACTCCTGGACAGAGCCATGAACAACCTAGTAAAGCTGCTTTTAGGTCTACATCTACAGAGTCCATCAGTCGAGTCATGTTATGTCATTTTCGTTTGGGTCATCTTTCCTTTTCTGCACTAAGTCATTTATTCCCAGAACTTTTTAAGGGAATTAGTCTATCCAGTCTTCATTGTGAGACGTGTGAATTGTCAAAACATTGTAGAAGCAGTTATCCTTTAAGCAATAAAAGATCTTCTTCTCCTTTTTATATTGTGCACTTTGATGTGTGGGGGCCTTACCACTTACCTTCTATGGGTGGCTACAAATATTTTTTCTTGTTCATTGATGACTTTTCTCGATTCACTTGGATATTTTTGATGAAGCCCCGTGATGAAGTTCCCAGACTTGTGAGGCAATTCCATGAATTTGTYMTAAYCCARTTTGATACCAKAATTAAAATTTTCAGATCCGACAATGCAAAAGAATATTTTGAGAAAAACCTGACCTGCTATCTCACTGATTTGGGGGTTATTCACCAAAGCTCCTATGTTAGGACCCCAGAACAGAATGGAGTTGTTGAAAGAAAAAATAGGCATATTGTTGAAGTTGCAAGAAGTATTCTTTTTGCCTCACATGTCCCTACAAAATTTTGGGGTGATACTGTTCTCATTGCAACCTACCTAATCAACCGTATGCTATCCAGGGTTTTGGGGTTTAAGTCTCCCTTCAGTCTTCTTCATCTGGGAAAGGATCTTTTTCCTATTCCTCTTCGTGTCTTTGGCTGCACTTGTTATGTACATATCCCAAGTGTCCAGAGACATAAATTTGAACCAAAATCCCACAAGTGTATCTTCCTTGCTTATGTCTCCATGGATGTCACCTTTGATGAGCTCTCTTCCTTTTATGATTCTTCTCAGGAGAGGCATTGTCCAAAGGGGGAGAATTTGTCACAGTTGTTTGCTCTTCCCCTTCTTGTCCCAATTGAATCTTCTGTTGAGACTCCTCCTCCTTCAAATGAGTCAAGAGAGGATTAGTCATTTCTTTCTCAACGACAAGGAACCAGAAATGAGCATATTGTTTCCCCTACAGCACATGAACCTCCTGCACTTCCAATCACATAAGAGAGAACAGGTACTGGTGCAGCCCCTTTGGAGTCATCCTTCCCAGACCTTGATACCCCTATTGCTATTAGGAAAGGAAAAAGGAAGTGTACTGCACATTGCATTTCCAAACACCTTTCTTATAGTTTGCTCTCTCCTTCATATTTTGCCTACCTTTCTTCTGTTGCTTCTAACCCAATTCCCAGGTCTGTGTCAAAAGCTCTTACTATTCCAGAACGGAGGGATGCTATGAGAACAGAAATCGATGCCCTGCACAAAAATGATACTTGGGAAGTGGTCGATTTGCTTGAAGGGAAGGATCTAGTAGGCTGTAAGTGGGTTTTTACTATTAAATATCATGTTGATGGCACCATTGAAAGGTACAAGGCTAGGCTGGTTGCTAAAGGTTATACACGGACATATGGGATTGATTATCTAGAGACCTTTGCTACTGTTGCCAAGATGACTTCTGTGAGAGTTCTGCTATCTCTGGCTGCACACTCAGACTGGCCACTTTATCAGCTGGATGTAAAGAATGTGTTTCTGAATGGAGAGTTACATGAGGAGGTCTATATGTCTCTTCCTCCAGGGATGTATGAAACAGATATGAAAGGGAAGGTCTGCAAGCTAAAGAAATCTCTTTATGGACTTAAACAGTTCCCTAGAGCATGGTTTGAAAGGTTTAGGACTGCCCTTGTTAGCTTTGGCTATGTACAGACACAGTTTGATCATACCTTCTTTGTGAAGAGGAGAGGATCCTTGGTCGTTTACCTGATTGTGTATGTTGATGATATTGTTGTGACTGGTAATGATGTATCAGGGATTAATGATCTCAAATCCTTCCTTCATACAGAGTTTGAGATCGAATATCTGGGGGAATTGAGATACTTTCTTGGAATAGAAGTTGCTAGATCCAAGGATGGGATCCTTATCTCTCAGAGAAAGTATGTACTTGATTTGCTCTCTGAAACAGGAAAGATGGGTGCTAGACCAGTTGCTACTCCTATTGATATGAGTCATAAACCCTTTGCTTCATATGGAATATTGTTGAAAGATAAGGGAGTCTTCCAGAGACTACTTGGAAAACTTTTCTATCTATGCATGACTCGGCCAGACATTGCATATGCTGTCAATTGCATTAGTCAGTTCATGCATGCTCCCAGGGATACTCACATGGTAGCAGCAGAAAGGATTCTATGTTATTTGAAGGGTTCCCTTGGAAAGGGAATTCTATTTGCTAAGCATGGCCATATGAAACTTGAAGCCTACACAGATGTTGATTGGGCTGGAAACATTGACGACAGAAGATCTACCTCTGAGTACTATAGCTTGGTGGCAGGTAATATTGTCTCTTGGAGAAGCAAGAAACAATCAGTTGTTGCCCGATCTTCAGCCGAAGTTGAATACAGAGCCATGGCTCATGGAGTTTCTGAACTACTATGGCTTAGATCCTTGATGGAGGAACTGGGTATTGAGCATGATAAGCCAATGATGTTATACTGTGATAATCAGGCTGCCATCAACATTGCTCACAATCCAGTACAACATGACAGAACTAAACATATTGAAGTTGACAAACACTTCATTCGAGAAAAAGTAGCTTCTGGAGAGGTGTGTCTACCTTTGATCACTTCTGAAGGACAGTTAGCTGATTTCCTCACCAAGAGCATTCCCAAGGCTAAACTTCAGCATGATACTAGCAAGCTTGGCATGATTGACATCTATGCTCAGCTTGAGGGGGAGTGTAGAGAAGATGGGCCGAATGGCCCATAGGCTGTTTATCTTTTTTTATCTTTTATGTTCTTTGCTGTAATGAGCCTTAATCTGGGCTTTATTTTTTCTTATGTTATGTTTTTTAATTTTCCGCCCAACTAGGGGCCTCTCTGTAAATTACTAAAGCTTAACTTAATGAAATAGAATTATGGGAGTAAGAGAGGAGGTTATATTCGAAGATCTCTCTCTCTGAACCCTAGTTGCCGCCACCTTCTTCTTCTTCTTCTTCTCTCTTCTTGAAACCTGATTTCTGCTACTTTCTTTTGATTTTCTACAACTTTTTAAACAGTCCTTTCTTTTGAAAAGACTGTTTTTCTTCTGTGTCCAACATTGTTGTGTACTAATCAACTTACTCCCATCTTCTATCCTTCATAACACCTCACCCTTTCAATGCTTATTTGATCGTCCACCAGACTTCTCTTCACTCCATGTGTTTGGATGTGTTTGCTTTGTTCACCTTCTACCTTATGAACACATTAAGCTATCTTCTTAGTCTGTCTTATGTGCTTTTATGGGATATGGTTTAGAACATAAGTTATTCCTCTACTATGATCCCTCTTCACGTTGCATTCGCATCCCTAGGAATTTTATTTTTCTTGAGAGTGTTTCTTACTTCCACCATATTGCAAACCTTACCCTTGACCAAGAAGCCACTATTTCTTCTTGCCTCCCAAACCAAACTGCCAAGAATTCTTTAAACCTCCACCTCAGAAGACCCCTAAGGGACTCGGAGATTTCTGATTTAATAGCCCTAATCCAAACCCTCAAAGATGCCTACATATCCCCCTCTCATTCCGACACCCGAATATGGACCTTTCACCCAAATGGCGAATTCTCTTCTAAGTCTATGTTCAGGGCTTTGATTGCTCATGATCAGCATTCCTCTTTTCCTTGCAAGAAAATCTTGTGTAGCCACATCCCTTCAAGAATTTGCTTCTTTGTTTGGGAAGCCTGTCTCCAGAAAGTTAATACTTGTGATCTCCTACAGAAAAAACTTTTGGGAAGACCACATTATGGACATGTTTGTATTTTGTCTCAGCGAGGGTGAATCTGCAGACCACATTCTTCTTAACTGCAGTTTCACGCAAAGGACATGGTCCCACTTCTTGAATATGGCAGGTTATAGCTGGGCTTTTCCAAAACACATTATGGACATATTGAATCAGTGGCAAGGAACAGGGCTAAGCAAAAGGGGTAAAGTCTTTTGGCAAAATCAGTGCTACATGCAGTGTTGTAGGGTGTTTGGGATGAAAGAAACAACCGCATTTTTGACAATAAAAGCAGAACTTTGGAGGAATTAATCTCAGATATTACCTACCTTTGCATCCTTTGGACTGTGAATTCAGCTCTGTTCAAAGGACTTTCAGTCGATGATCTTATCAGAGATATTCACCCCTTTCTGTTTCTCCCTCATCCCCAGCAAACATCCTTGAGACTTCCCATACCCATTAGTGAAGGAGTAATAAACCTTAATTTTGACGGTTGTGCCTTAAGTAATCCTGGCCTTGCAGGTATTGGTGGTACAGTAAGGGACAAAAGGGGCAATATTTGCTGGACTTTTAGTGGTCCAATCGGCTGGGCTGACTCCACTATGGCTGAAGTGATGGCTGCTCTCACTGGAATCAGGACAATAAAGAATTTGGGAATTCAGAATTTGATCATTGCAGGTGATTCAGCAAATACGATAAAATGGTTAAGAGACAAAGAGGGCCCTTGGAGACTGAAGCTTGGGATTCTTTGGATGGTTTGAATGTTAATTTAGTTTGGATTCCTAGGGAACACAATCATACTGCAGATGGCCTAGCTAAATTTGGTGTGTATTTGGAGCATTTGTATAGCAACAAGCTTCCTCCTTTGTAACTTGTAGGGGTTCCCCCCCTGCTTTGTATATCTCCCCTTGATCCCCCCCCCCCACTTATTTTCTTAATAAATTCTGGTTAAATTTTCTCAAAAAAAAATATTGCAAAACTTCCTACTACTTTTGTCTCTATTTTGCATTCCTTTGATACTGCAGGTGCTTCCAGCTCATATCCATCTATTCTTACACTTCTCTGACTTTATACAAGAAGGTGAGCTACTATGCCTAAGCCTATCCTCTCCTCTTCTTCGCCTCCAACTGCTGTTCCAGCACATCTTCCCACTTACACCATAAGTGCTCCACCCCCTCCACCTTGTGATTCCTTACCATCACCCCCTCCCCCTTTATGTAGATCATCTCGTGTTTCCCAGTCTCTTGATCGCTATGGTTTCTCTACAGGCTATAGTTCCTTTCCTGCAATTTTGTCCTCCACAAATGTTCCCCAAACTTACCAACAGGCAGTGGCTGTTCCGCATTGAAAAGAAGCTATGGATACTGAGATACAATCAATCTCTCCTTGAAAATGATATTTGGGATCTAGTTCCTGCCCCTCCAGATGCTTCAATTATTGGAAATAAATGGGTTTATTCAGTGAAGCTGAATTCTGAATCCTGTAGCCAAGACGACAATTGCCTGTCTGATTTTTGCTATTTCTGCTATTAAATAGTGGGACATTCATCAGATGGATGGCAAGAATTCCTTCCTTCATGGTCAGTTGAAGGAAACTGCCTATATGAATCCTCCACTCGGTTATTGTGATGATCCCAATCTAGTCTGCCGCCACGAGCCTGGTTTGAAAGGTTCCACAATGTTATTACTACTGCTGGATTTTCTCAGAATCCTGACTATTCAGTATTTCTCATGAAGTGGCCTCAAGGTCTCACACTTCTATATGTTGATGACATTCTCATTACAAGGGATGACAGTATGACACCGAAGGATTACAAGGGATCTTAGGAACCTCACATATTTTCTGGGGTTGGAAGTCTATCGCTCTTCCCATGGATACTTTATAAATTAGCAAAAGTATGCCATAGATCTTGTGAAACTTGCCAGTTTAACTGATGACAAGCAAGTTGATACTCCTATTTAGGTTAATCTAAAGTTGTCCAAAGATGATGGTGAACCTCTACATGATGCTACACTGTATAGGCAACTTATTGGCAACCTCATTTATCTTACCATGACCAGATTGGGCATTTCCTATGCTGTCCAAGTTGTTAGCCAGATTGTCTCCTCTCCTAGACATCCTCACCTAACAGTTGTTCTTATGGATCATTCATTAAATACGAGGTTCCTTATCTCATGGACTGTTTTTCTCTTCTTCACCCCCCTTTCACTTGACTGCATATGCTGATGTTAATTGGGCCGGATGCCCTGACACAAGAAGGTCCACTACCAGGTGGTGTGTTTTCCTAGGAGATTCCCTCATTTCATGGAAGTGTAAGAAGCAATAGTCTGTTTCAAAATCTTCCATAGAAGATGAATATCAAGCTATGCATTTGTGTGCAGTGGTCTGATCTGGCTCCGTGCTTTACTTCATGATCTCTTTATGGATATACCATCCCCAATTCCTCTCCATGCAGATAATGTTAGTGCCATCAAGATTGCCTCTAATCCAGTCTTCTATGAGTGTGCCAAACACATAGAGGTTGATTGCCACTTCATCAGAGACCAATTTCTTGTGGGCTTATATCTCTCCCTCGTGTCTCCTCTAGTCTTCAGTTGGCTGACCTTTTCACTAAGGTTATGACTCAGGCTCGCCGTCAATTCTTAGTTGACAAACTGATGCTTACCTCAGCATCAGTTTGAGGGGGGTTTAGAGATAGTATATTATAGGCTTGGGATCATGGTTATATCTTGTATTATAAGCTTTGTATCATATGTAATGTTTTTGCTCTCTTTTCTCTCTCAGTTACTTATGGAGGGCAGATTTGTCCTTTCAGCCTCCTGTAACATTTTAATATAAATACAAATTCTTTCTTGGGCATGGCTTACTGTGAACCACACCCAGAAACCCTATTCTTGTTTCATTCAAATGGTGTTGACAATTGTATCCTTGCAAACTTTACATTGTAGGAAGGTTTTACTTTTATTAAGACTGAAACTGACATTTTGGACTGAATTAGATTGAATTAGTTTGGTTTCAAATTTATAATTACTTTCATTTTTTATGGTTTTAGGTATCAATTTGTGCCACAGATGATCTTTCTTAACAGTCTATTTGGGTATCTTTCCCTCCTCATTGTCATCAAGTGGTGCACAGGGTCTCAAGCAGACCTTTACCATGTGATGATTTACATGTTCTTGAGCCCCACTGAGGATCTTGGTGAGAACCAGTTGTTTTGGGGCCAGAAGCCACTGCAGGTATCAGCTGTTACCTCCTTACTAATTCCGAAGTGCTCTGTTTGTTACTTTTATCACCTCCCTCACTCTTGTTTGTCTCTAGTTTTGTTTGGGTTGATCGATTCCAAATTTTTCTTGCAGATGTTGCTGTTGCTTTTGGCTGTTGTAGCTGTTCCTTGGATGCTCTTTCCAAAACCTTTCATTTTGAGGAAGCTTCATCTAGAGGTATACTATATGTTGATCAATTTTTTATGATCTTTCATATAATATTCAACATAATTCAATTAGAGCCATTCTATGATTCTATCTCCATGTAGTTACTAATTAGCAAATAATATCAGAATTTTCTAATTCTTCAACTCATTTTACTCTTTTCCTTGCTACCATTTCCTCCTTGATGCTTCATTGGTGGATGACACTATCTGTGGTTACTTTGACCTTGTTAACAAATAAAAGGGTTTAGCTTCTGTACTTGGGCTGCTTATTAGGTGCCTAGTTAAGGGCATCTTTATAATTTTATCATTTAATATAGAAGTTATGATAGAGGGGCATGAGAACCAAGACGGATATTTGTTCTCTCATGTTGTCTCTTTTCTTGCAAATATACATCAAATCTTTCATTGAAATCTAGTATGTTTATCAACATGATCCATCAAACATAATCCTCATCATCTTTCATATGTATATTTAATGTATTTTATTATCATTTATTGAAAATGAACATTTAGAGAATCTATTTGGTTATTTCCTATGATACCTAGATAACTATACATGCCTAGCATACCAGTGTTGGATACAATACCAGACACTGCATGGGTACTTCTAGATGTACTTTGTAGCATTAAAACTTCTGCTTTGACGAAAAGTGATTCTTTTCATATTTTAACAATATTCTTTGCCCAGTATTTTGTAGTTTGTGGTTTTCTGTCAAATTGCTTTGAGGGCTGGAAACCTATTATTGATTTTATTTGTGATATTTGTAGAGATTTCAAGGTCGTACTTATGGCATTCTTGACACCTCTGATATGGATCTGGATGTTGAACCTGATTCTGCAAGGCACCATGTTGATGAATTTAATTTTAGTGAGGTGTTTGTGCATCAAATGATACATTCTATCGAGTTTGTCCTTGAAGCAGTGTCGAATACTGCATCTTACCTACGTCTCTGGGCTCTAAGGTACATCATATTTGGCCCTTTGTTTCCATCATATTCTTTTCAAAACTTATATTTTTTTATCGATTACCCTGCTCTTATAACAGTTTAGCCCACTCAGAGTTGTCAACTGTATTCTATGAGAAAGTTCTCCTTCTAGCCTGGGGGTGAGTTTGAATCCTATCTTATGGCATACTCGTTTTCTTTTTCAGATTTTTCCTGTTCAATTGCTGCTCAACATGTGCATTGGAATATTCTGTGCAATCACTAGTAGCCATAAAGAAGAAAGCTATGAGCAATATATATATATATATATATATATATATGTGTGTGTGTGTGTGTGTGTGTGTGTGTGATTCATTGGAGGATTAAGGAGTTTGTCTGTATGGGGGGTGTGAACCATTGTAAGAATACAACAAAGTAAACTTAAACTATTATAACATTCATTCTGCCTACAGAGAGAAAATTACCTAGGTGGTTTAACATGAAAAATATTACCTAGATTTATTGGACCAGATAAGGTTTCCAGTGTTGGCTATGTGGCAAACTAAAAAATTATCTTGCTTGAGTTATTTTAATATATTAAGTCCAGCTAATATTGAAGGGTACCAATGATTACCGTTTTGGGCTAAAAGTCCTTTATGGTCATGAAGGATGCAACAAGTATTAGTATACCATGTTATTTGTATTAAGGAAACAATTATTCAGATTCTTCAGAAATTTAACTAGTATGCCTAACGTTGGAAAAATCATTACAATAGTCAATATTTTCCAAACCAGATTGCATCTGAAATTACAGGTTAAAACAATTTGTATGCAATTCTTAAGTGTGAAACTGAACTGATGCCATTTCAGTAAGCAGTGGAAGAAAACCCAAGAAACTCTAACTTGTTATAGGTTATGAAATGTGGAATCACAGAGTTAGCATTCATATTCTTTGAAGAACAATCTTTGACTAGTGACTGCAGAAGTCTGGTGCCAAGATTTTTTCCAAATTTCTTGGGTTGGTTCATCATCATCATCATCTAAGCCTTATTATCCCAACTATATGGGGTCAGCTACATGAATCCTGTTTTGCCATTCCATTCCATTTATCCATTGTTAAATTATGAATGCTTAAATCATTTCTTACTATTTCAACCCATGTCCTTTTTGGTCTGCCCCTAGCCTTCTAGCCCCCTTCAACTTTCAACTTAAAACAGATTGCTTCTCTGGTCTAGATATACTTTTTACCTATTTAGTAAGTGTTATCATGATCTAGAAATACTTGAATAAGTTTTGGAAAATGTATGAACATGGTACAAGTTTGTGGCAGAGGGGTTTGTACCTTTTGGTCAATTGAGTTAGTAAACTGGTCTTAGGAAGCGTTATTACCCAATGCTGGTCCCAGCTATCTGCGGTCTTGGTAGGGGTAGACTGGGTACAGTCCTAACCTTTATCGGCCATTATGAAGTATTTCCGAATTTGGTCATATGTTGAGAGCGTTTTGTACTTCTTAAGGGTGGCTATTTGATAAGGAGTTCAGATCTGCTGGCCACATTCATCCAGCCCCACATTGAAAACATCTCTTGTACCATATATAGCCGATGTTCCTGTTGTTGGCTGGATGAATGTGGCCAGCAATGTGTTGTGGTCAGCAGATCCAGACTCTATGATAAGGGGACTACAAGGGGAAACTTCTCTGACAAAGGATTGGAATCTATTTGACACCCATATCCCCCTTGTATTGCCATTATATCTAACATCTATCCACTGGTGAATTACGTGAGTTGTCCCTTCCTTAATGGTGACCCATCCTTAAATGGAGGAAAGAAGTCTCTATAGTGTCCGCAGTTTAAATTTTAGAGAAAATGTTAGCTTTGGCTTTGAGCTGCTTGGCTTGGATTAGTCACTTTGAAAAAGGTTCATTTCCTTTGGTTTCCTAAGGTGGATTAAATTAGCATAAATTCATCATTATGTAAGCCTTGTCCCAATTATTTGCATGCATTTTCTGGTGCACCGTGCACGCACATCCATATTAATAATTTTTTCATTGGACATGCATTGGCTTGTGAATATCATCCCTATTTGATGATGGCAATGACTATGGCAGGTTTGACAGCATTCTTATCCGACTGGTAGGGCTTGCAGTTTTTGCCTTTGCGACAGCCTTCATCTTGCTCATGATGGAGACACTCAGTGCGTTTCTCCATGCCTTACGTCTACATTGGGTGGAATTCCAGAACAAGTTCTACCACGGAGATGGATACAAGTTCAGACCCTTGTCTTTTGCTTCGTTGCCTGATGATGAAGATTAATCTACTAATTTCCCTTGGGGGTCACTATTTTTGAATTTTGATCTTAACATTTGAAAGTGGAAGTACAAAGACTACAAGATATAAGGATCTGATTATTGCAGCCCAGACTGGATTTTCTTAAGCTGATATGAAAAATCCTGTTTGGGCTGCAAATGTCAATATCTTCTCCTAGCTGTACCATTTGCAGCTTCGCTCTGAAAATGTAAACATCCCTGTAGAGAAGTCTGTATGACCCGGTCAATCAACAATTGAGCCCTGTAAATTTTCTTCAACAAAGCAATTAAATTTCATTGCTTGTAAAGAGGGGTCCAGGATTCCAGAATTCTTAATACCAAATATCTTCTGTTATCAAGTGTAGCAGATCATAGAATCTTGTCATACGGACAGAAACAGGGGTGGATTTTATAGGGCATTGCCCTTCATATAATTTATACTTTTTTGGCAAGAAACATCACTCATAGTCACTGTTTTTTTTGTTTTGGTCTTTTTCATAACGACGAAAGCGTTTAGGCTGATTAAGGTGATCTTCATTAAGAATGTTGAAAATAAGGTGTGCTGCGATTGAGAACGCCAGGCCCCACTATCGTGTGGTTGAAAATTTGTGTTTTTGAACCCATTTTGCTGTACGCACAGGAATGGGAGTGGATTTTGCAGAAAATTACCCTTTACATAAGTGGTTATATTCTTATCCTTTTCTCTTCTTTCATCTAGTTAATAATGAGCTTTGTGACATCACAGTTGTGCAGTTGCTTTTCTTCTTACACATAAAGTTGGGGGAAGGTCTTAATGTCTTATCCTTCTCTCAAGTGGAAAACTTACTGGTTTTCAATGGACGAAAAGAATGTAGGTAAAAATACACTGATTTGGAAAACACTTACTGTTTAGTCGAAACTTACGCAGGAACAACGATCCCAATCCTCTCCAATGATATTAATTACTTTAAGGGCCCATTTGGTTTATGGGTCTGGAATCGAAATCGGAATAGGCCATTAAGATTCCAACTGTTTGGTTGGGCAGATCAATGATAATCCCCATTCGAGGATTCCATTCTGATTTCTATCTGAACTAAACAAGTTATAAAAATAGACCTTCCAATTCTCATTCCAAACAAATTTTGATACTAATTCCGATTCCAATTATAAAGCAAATTATAGGCAGTCCAACAGAAACTATAATCCAAGGCCCAAGCATTGATTGAACGACTCTATAAACCCATCTTGTCATGTTTACTCATCTTTCTAGTGATTTGAGTAGATGTCAATTTTGCGGGATCGTTGGTCAAATATAAGTGTTTTAAAAGAAACAAAATACTAAACACTAACCACATGACTAATCCAGTTTCAGTTTGCTTTTATTTATAAGAAAAACTTGAGTCTTGATTCTTTTCATTTACCGGTCTTAAAGGAAAGTTTGGATGGGATGGATGGATTCAGTCTCTAGTCTCTGTAAAAAAAATCAATTTTATTCTGTAGCCATGTCGTCGGCCACTGAAATTAGATCGAGGCTAAAATGGGACGGGATACCATTGGCAAGGCTCCGAAGAAGAAGGGATGAAATTCGGCGAAAGTTTCTTTATCTTTCAGATGATCAAGGAAGCTCTGTAATTGTAATGATTTAATTCAGGCTGTGTTTGGATTCACTAAAATTAATTGTTGCTTTTTTGAAAATAGTGACGGATGGAAGAGTGTAAAGTTTTACATCGATAAAATTGATGTAGTTTTACATATTATCGATATAAAACTTTAGAGCTAGTGAGTTATCGATGTAAAACTACACTCCATCTAAATGCACACAAAACTGAATTGGAGTATAGCTTTACATCGATAATAATTTTATATCAGTTCTTGATTTACATCGCATCCAAATACAACCTCAGTGTTTTTGAACTGCCACTGACCCAGATGGTCAGACCATTTGGCCTGGAAATTGTCCAGGCAATTGGTTCCGTTTCACCTTCAACTCGGTTCTTGGCCAAAAACTGTTGATTTGGTCAATAACCCACTAGCCTGGTCGATCCACTGACCCATTTGATGGTATTTTACCACTTATTCATTTTAATTATTTTTTTCAGTTAAAACAGGCCATCTGTTCAAATCGAACTATCGACCCAGAAACCAGTGGCCATAACGATTTTGGTTTCAAGTCAGTTTTTAAGCCATTACCAAATAAGAGCTGTTCTGTTCAGTTACATGTGTTGCCTATTATCTTTTCATCCGAGAAGTAGTTTCAGAAATCTTGAAGGGCATGTTCGTGTTCGTTTTCCAGTAAATGAAGTGGGTAAGTCGGTGGGTCTCACACTCTTACGGAAAAGAACGATTCATTAATACCCGTTTGAGATTTGGATGAATCATTTTCCTGTCCTATGAAAATTGTTAACATATGATAAAACAATATTTTCCCTTTCATAATGGTTCTTTCATGAATAAAACAATATTTTCCCTTTCATAATAATACTTTTATGAATAAAATGATCATTGTATAATTTTACATGAAAAACAAAAGAATACTATTAAATATATTTAACTAGTAAAGTATTTTCGAAGTTACATTTCTCTTCTGATTAATCACATTTACTAGATAAATAATTTAGGATTTAATTTAATAAATGAGGTTTAAGAAAAAAACTATGGGAGGTATCTAAATGAGATTTTAAAAGATAATGGCAACTTTTTGCCCCTCATATCAATACAAATGGCATTCTAAAAATAGTATGTATTTGGTATAGCTTTCATTTATTAAATAAATATTTGTACTCCATTTGTCTTCAAAACAGAAAAAATGAATCTTCTCCAATAGTTAGTGTGCACAACCCCTGATATCAATACAATTAGGCGTCATATCAGCGGAGCAATAAATAAATGCTCGACTGTTGATAAAGCGTTAAAATGAATCTTCTCCAATAGTTAGTGTGCACATAAATCAAGACCAAATTTTGTGAATACCAATGTATACGGATGAACATAATTGTCTAAATGATAATTTGACGATGATATGGCACTGTTTATCAAATAAACGGAAACCATACACAACACCGCCATAATAACCAAAACAGAAAATTTTTTTTGAAAAAATATCAATTAAGAGCACATGTATCACCGTATAAGATATCTCGTATTTATTTTATATGGGTATTGCTTACCTTTTCCTCTGGAAGAACGAACAGCGGCGGCAAACCTGTTCTCCTTCTTATCGGCTAGAATCCCTCCACTGGACCACGTCTGCCCTGCCCTATACCTTAGTTTTCTTCTTCTTCTTCTCTCTCTCTTCCTTCCTCTTCCCTCTTCTTTATTCTAGATGGAATATACCAAAATCTCTAGAAAGTTGATGCGAGCTCGTCTTCTGAAGTTGTAAATGGAAAGAGAGGGGCGTTGCAACGTGGTGTTAGGTTATTCTCGGCCTCACTAGCATCGCATGAACTATGGGTTGTTGGTCACTGGATTCTATTGCTAGGGTTGGGGGTTCTTGACTACCCTTTTGCTTTTCAGTTGTGCTCATCGCATGAACTTTAGATGCCATTTCTGACAAAGACGTATCAGCTAGTGGAGAATGCAAGCATGGACGATGCAATCTCGTGGAATGACAACTGCACCACCTTCGTTGTCTGGAAACCTGCAAATTTTGCCTAAGATTTTCTCCCTAAGTACTTCAAATACAATGACTTCATGAGTTTCGTTCCCCAACTTAACACCTACATATGTTATCACTCTTTCCTCCCTCACTCCTCTCTTTCTGTGTAATCGTAATTTTCTTCGTTACGGTCATTTAATTTATTATCGATTATTGTTTTTGCTTTATATTTATTCCAAAGTAAACGAGATACTATTAATAAATAATAATTTTTTCTTCGAGGATCTGGAGTGATCGAATATCTCCGGTGACTTCAGCGTGCATTTGAAGAATTCCGCTTTCAGTGCTCAAGTTTAGATTGATGGTGTGAATGGATCATTCGTCCAAGGAAGCAGAGTCGTTTAATACCCTATGTATTTTATACATGCATACATCTCGTATCATAATGCCCTTAACTGTAATTTTTTTTTTTTCAAACAAACTATCCTGACCTAACTATTATATTGAAAATATTATTTTTATTGATACTATGGGGCCAAAAGTTGCCCTTATCGGCTTAGAACTCCTGTCCAAATACACGAGAGAGACAGTGTGCCTTGAATTTCGACCGTAGGATTGTTTTGAATCTTTTGACAAAATACTTTAGGGGTTTTTATGATTCAGTCCACGCTTAAGTGGAGCTAGGATTTTCTAGGGGTGGACTAAATCCTGCCCGTGGATTGATGTTAAATTCATGGGCAGGATGTGGTTTATAGGGGGGTTATAGTAGACTAAGAGAAGGCTGCAAAAAAAATTTCTGAGGGGTATTGCAGTCCAAAAATCACAATACTTTAAGGTCTTCTTCGCTTTTCAGTAAGTTATTTACTTGGGTAAATACATTTACCTAGGTAAGTTTTTTCTGGGAAACTTAAGTGTATTTACCCATGTTCTTTTGTTTCTCATGTAAATAAGGCAAGGACCATTTTATCCATAAAAATCCATTATTAAAAAGGGCATTTTTATCCCATTCAAGTGTTGGCAACTTTCCTCTTAGGCAGAAAATTTATTTACCCACCTAGGAGATGAGTATCACTTAAGACCCAGGTAAGCGATACCCATGAAAATAAACTTCCCCTGATCCCCATATAAACCTGAAAAAAGAACTTGGGATTCTTGGTCAATGGGAACTAAAATCATATTGACCAATTTTTCCCCTTTCAAAATCTGAAAAAAAAAAACACCCCCTGGCATGGTTGGTTCTTAAAGAATATTTCAATCTGATGCCAGAAAAAACCACACCCCTCCCCCCCCCCCCCGTCTCGTGCGAGTGCCTCCTCAATGCTTTGATTTCATGTGACACGTCACTACAATATGAGTTGAGTTGATGATCGAGTTGAGACTTGCAGCCGACAGGGAGCTCCTCACACCTGGTGCTTCACACGCACATCCTACCATGCATCGGAAATATCTCTCGTACTTATTAGTCATTATTTACAAGAGATGTTCCCAATGCACGGTGGATGTGCATGTGAGGCGCCCAAACAGATCCCATCACGCATTACGCGACATCACATTGGGCGCCCCACAGTACATCTAAACCGTGCACTGGTAGGAGATATTCTCAATACACGCTTAAATGTGCATGTGGGGCGCCCATGGGACGCGCTACGTGAGGCGCAGATGTAAATTCGCATTGTGCGAGTGTGCATGGAAACAATGAACATCGGGAGAGGTAAGAAGATTAGTTCGATGGGGCACGTGATCACGCAACTGTGATCTGATTTCTACGTTTCTCGATTTGGGCACGAACATCCGCATGTAAGCACGTCAGCTAGTGCAGTCTAAACTCCAAAACAACTCCATTATCATATCATTTGATTCCATATAACTGGGCTACCCAGTTTCTTTATAGCCCCATATCCTTCGCAAAAGGCGTGGGGCTCAACTCAAATCATGTTCATCGTCTCTCAACACTTAGATGGATTGAAGGATCAAACGCCCAGTGTTGATCCCTCCTGCTGATGAATCTGGAGGAGGCAACGAAACAATATTTTATTGGTTTATTTTATTTTTTGATTTTTCTCTAACTGTTCCCTCCTGCTGATGGTCTCTCATGTCGGTTAAATCCTAATGACAGAGAGTTGTGATTTTCTCTAGTTCCCTTCGACACCAATGTGTGTTGATTGTTGAGTTCCAGAACGCTTAAGGAGCTCCCAAATTAGGAAATTCTTTGTATGAATGGATTTTCTTTCGAAGGATTCTCACGGTTGGTTTGCCGAGCTTTGGCGGAGACAGATAGGTCTATCTCAGCCCAGAAGCTTTTCCCGACTAACTGGTGGTTCAATGGTCTGGATCCTTACTGTCTTTCCCCCCTTCCATTGTTCTTCATTTATTCATTTTTTGTGTAATTTCTTTTTTTTTGTTTGGAGAACGTGAAGTCTAAGGTTTGGGATTTCGGCTGAATTGTGGGTTCTTCTTAATGTCTTTTGCTTTTCAAAATCGCTACTACCTAATCTGTTGTAGTATTGTAGATAATCGCTTTTTCTGCATAACTGTGAAATCTGGAAATCTTAAATTCCTTTTTTGTTTTTCGTTCGTGCATTTCTGTTTAGGGTTAATGATGAAGCAGGCGTAGAAGATTTTGGTTTTTGCTTTTCATACTGCGATATTAGAAGACTAAAGATTCAATTTAGAAATCCATTAGGGTAGCCTTAATCACTAAACATGTAAAAATTAAATCCTTTTAGCAACCCATTAATATATTTCGTACTTAAAATGGCAAATCTTCAGGGAAGTGAACACCCTTTCTTCCCGACTGGTCATAAGTTCAATATGCTAAAGAAGTATACGAATGTTATTAAATGTGGTTTATTGTTCTTATGTAATCTTCTTTCCTGCAACAGGTGCTTGTAAAGAAGATTGATCTGTATGGGAAGCTAGATGGCCATGAAGGTTGTGTAAATGCATTAGAGTTCAACTCTACTGGCGACCTTCTTGTGTCAGGTTCTGATGACACAAAAGTTATATTTTGGAACTGGGAAGCTAAAACTAAAAAGTTCTCATATCCCTCTGGCCATACAGACGATATATTCCAGACCAGAATTATGCCATTCACTGATGATCGGACAATAGTTACTTCTGCCGGTGATGGCCAGGTGAATTCTTATATACATTCCTTTACTCAAAGCCTTAAATATGATATTTTGAACAATTCACTTTCGTATTTATCATGTCTTGGTGCTTGACCTGACTATCAATTGCATTGCAATTTTACTTTGGGGTGGTGTTGGTTGAACTTTGATGATAAATAGTTTACATATTTTAACATTCCTGCTGCTAATTTTTAGGAATTTGGTATAGCAGCCTCAGAAATATTATGTTGCTTCAGCTTTTTTTCTGCTGAAATAACTTCTCTTAATCCAATGAAATCCCATAGAGGTGGTTAGTTGCTATTATGGTTGTTTTAATGAGTTGAGCTTGTAACTACATCCACTGAGGCAATGACTTTACTAGCTGATTCTGCTGGCACTTTTAAAACTTGTGTTCATTTCAAAATTTTCATTTATCTTCCTACATTATTAGATTATTTGTATATGTATGCTCAATGTTGGAAGCACCTAATTTTGATACTTAGGTTGAGTTTAACATAGCATATCCATAACTTGTGTCCATATGATAAGGAGGGTTTGCGCCTTAGGCTCCATTTGGAAGGAGTACAAATACAAATATGTAGAGCGTAAAACCTTATATTTTGTATATATTTGTACTGTACATATTTGTATTTGTACTCCTTCCAAACTGAGCCTTATGGATAAAATTGGAATGGATGGGTGATACTGCAGTAGTGGTGGGTGAAATTGATTCCTTGAAAATATAAGGGGCTAATCTGGTTACTCCAAAATTGTAAAAAGGTAAGCCATGTGTTTAAATTTTTATAATAACTTATAAGGGGCTAATGGCCATAAAAAGGATGTTTTGTATTGTGGCTAGATGGTGTTGTGGGCATTTTCTGAACTTCAGTAAGGTTAGGATCTACGTAAAACTCCAGTCCATGAAAGGATTTATCAAGAAAATGAGTTTTCATCTCCTTAAAGCTTACTTGCTAAAAATAACTTTGGCACACCTATATGGATAAGAACTTTATTTTACAAAATGATTGTAACCATACTTCTCTCCCTTTTTTTTATCAATAACACTTTCATTAAATCATCAATAGAAGATTTACAAGAGGAAGACAAACACACTCATCTTCCAAGAGCAACAAAGGACCTTAAGAAAAGGAAAAAGAAAAGGAAAAAACACTAAAGTTATAGCTTAGCCCAAAACAGTGAATCCCTTTCTGCCCCTTGTTTAGCTAAACCATCAGCTAGGGAATTAGCCAATCTTTTAACCCAACACATCTTAACTTCCATCTCCCACACCAGCCACTTAAATTTCCTCCTTTCATTGTTGTACTTCTCTCCCTTTTTAGGAGAGATGCCTTATCTTCGGAACTAAATGTTGAATTCAAGTGGGTGAGAAGGACTGCAAATGGGATTGGCCAATTCCCTTCCTAAGCAGGGGGTCTTAAGACAGCAACTGTTTTGGGCTTCATTGTAAAATTGTTTGTGTTCTCGTTGGGTTGGCAATCTTTTCATGTGAATGTATTGATTTCATCCATCTCCTAACAAAAGTAACGAAATAATGTTCTTTTTTTTTGCTGATCAAAAACAAAATATAAAAGAAATTCTGGGACGATTGGCACTGGAAACTCACTGAAGGCCGAACTTTTGACATACTACAAACAGCTAGGATACAGACATGTTGAGTTGGAAGGGGACTCAAAAGTAGTAATTTCCTGGGCAGCAAACAGCAGCCATACCCCATGGACATTTAAGCATGTGATTAGGGAAGTGGAGAAGATTGCAAAGGAGGTTGAGGCTGAACTTAAATGGGTCCGAAGGAGTGCAAATGGGCTAGCTGATTGTTTAGCAAAACAGGGGGCATTGAGGCAGCAATTATTTTGGGCTGCACTGTAATGACTAATGAGGGATAGAATAGAGTGATTAAAGGGACCAACAGAAATGTCTTGTCTTCCAGAGAGCAAATTGCAGCCTTGGTCTATAACTAAAATGAATATAATCAAGTGGAACTATATCAAGTTAAATACTCAAGTGTGTTTCGATTATATATAGTTTTAAAGAAATGGTCATAGGTCTACATTTTCCATGTGTAACTTGTGTTGTATAATATACCAAGTTGTTCTCCCTTTTAACAATGATCTCCAAACCCATTCTCAGCCGCTCCCTATATAAACCCACTAACCAACTTGCTTGCCTCTTTTCCCCTTTTTCTTGACAAAAAAAGATTAGGAAAAAATAAATAAAGGTTTGTATTGTGAATTCTCTTAATCCAGATCAGGCTTGGCCATATCTTGGAGGATGGACAGGTTGATACAAAAGAGTTGGGGAGCCACCAAGGTCGTGTATACAAGCTTGCCATCGAACCAGGAAGTCCCCACATATTTTACAGCTGTGGTGAGGATGGTTTTATCCAGCATGTAGGTCAAGTTCATATTATTAAGTTTCAGTTATTTCCATTTGTTTTGAAAATAAATTTTTTTAGAACCCTGAATTTGCTCTTGCAGTTTGATCTAAGAAGCCACTCTGCTACCAAACTTTTATGTTGCTCTTCCTTCACCGAAAACAAGCTACCTATCACCAGCATAAGATTAAATTCCATTGTTATTGACCCACAAAACCCAAATTACTTTGCTGTTGGTGGATCTGATGAATATGCACGTGTTTATGACATCAGAAAATATCAGTGGGATGCATCAAGTAATTCAGATACACCTGTGAATACCTTCTGTCCTCATCACTTGATCGGCTCAAATGTTCATATCACTGGATTGGCATACTCAAAGAAGGGCGAGCTGCTCATCTCTTACAATGATGAGCTTGTCTACCTATTTCAAAAGAACATGGGCATAGGCCCTAATCCACGGTCTATTCCAGCTCAGGATATCCAAAAATTGGAGCAGCCACAAGTGTATACAGGGCATAGAAATTCACAAACTGTTAAAGGAGTCAACTTCTTTGGACCCAGCGATGAGTATGTTATGAGTGGGTCAGACTGTGGTCATGTTTTTGTCTGGAAGAAGAAGGGAGGTGAACTCTTGCGGTTAATGGTAGGTGATAGGCATGTAGTAAACCAACTTGAGCCCCATCCTCACAGTCCTATTTTTGCCACTAGCGGGATAGAAAAAAATGTCAAGGTCTGGGCTCCTTTGGCTAATTGTCCCATTCCATTACCTGACAATGCAGAAGAGGTACTTTCTTAAGTTCAAACTGGAAAGTTAACTCAAAATGTCTGCTGCTTTTATTTATGCCTTATTCTTGGTTATCTTCTGACAGATAATGCAGGCTAATAGGCAGGGTAGAGAAGATCGTGCACGAATTACACTTACTCCTGATGTCATCATGCATGTACTGAGGATGCAGAGAAGGCAGACATTAGCTTACATTGAAAGGAGATACACCAGACTTGATCTTGAGAGCGATGAAGAAGATGAAGGAGACACGTATACTTTTGGATTGTCAGATGGTTATGCCTCTTCTGAAGAAGGCTTAAATTCCAGAGAGTGCAACATTAGCTAATATATGTATGGTTGGTTCATGTGTAAGCCAATGTTCACCAGGGCCATTTCCTACAGTCATTGTAAGATATAGCATCAGAATGTGGGTTAAGGTAGCCACTTTGTACCCAAAAAAATGTCGGGAGTTGGGACCATGTCTCTTCCACTCCTTTTCTATTGCTTTCTTTTGTCTGCAAATACCATGGTATGACTCATGCCATAAGATTCAGATTTAGTTTTTCCTTAAAACAGTCGATTACAGAATTGGTTAGGAAGACATAGAAACCTTCATCACGAATCATGACATGATGCTTGAACCCACTTGTAGAACATGAGTTTGTAGTGGACTGTGTTTTGGCAAAAAATTGGACAAACTGGTGCCTTGTTCATCTCTCTGCTTCAGCAGTAAAAAATCACCTTGTGGTTGGTATGAGTTCAAAGCATTTCAAAGAACTATTCATCAATGATCGTTTGTTACTCAACATCACAAGACTACATAGCAACACTTTTTCCAAATAAGTAAAGATAAGCTCATGCTTCATGTATACTTATAGAGTCCACTGCAATCCATATGACCAAAGCACACACATCTTTCCAAAAAACAAAAAAAAAAGGCTCATGCCTTATGAATACCACATTTGACATCAAGTTTCCAGCTTGTCACCTACATTAGTTCAGGTCATTTTGCAGGGGCTTTAAATTGAAGTTCCATAATTGTGATTTGTGAGGGATTTCCAAAGCAGACATCTTTTGTGATCTTTTTTTTTTTTTTCAAAGCAGCCATGGTGCTCAAAAGATTAATAAAAGAATGGCCAGTACCGAATGTTGGTCCCAGACTCCCAGCTGCTATATTGGGACGGGTCGTGGGTGAACTACTGGAGTGGATATGGCTTCTTTTTAAACAAACTTTGGATTGGCCACTCTCAGACAGTCCCCTGCCTACCTAAGACTAAGAGATTCTTAGCCATACATACCAAAATCAACGAGACCATGAAAATGCTAGTCATCTGATATTCCTATATCAATGCTGGAGATCTCTTAGAGTTGGAACATTCCCCAATCATTCGATGAGGTTTATCGGGCGTTTTCTTGAACCCTGTACATTTAAGCTGTCCTATCGGCTACAATTCTGTCTGTAATAACACGGGGCCACGTCAAATCTATTTCTATAACACCATCTGAAAAATCTAATTTTTTAAAATTTATTCTTATCTTGGACTATATTTGGTTTGACTGAAATTAAGAGAGACCCTTTGGCGAAAATTAAAAAAAAAGACACAGCTGAGGGAAAGTTAGGACTTACGAGCTTCACAAATTTCCAAATTTCTGTTAGAGAGAGAGACATTTTCTTATTCCAAGTTTCCAACTAGTGTTTATGCATATTTAGCAAAAAAAATCGAAGTTCCTATGCAGCAGACTGAATGAAGCCATTAAAAAGCTTACCGAAAAAATACATGGGTAAAAAGTCATGACTTCTGTAACATTTTTTTTCTTGTGGGGGAAAGGAAAGGTAGCATTTCAAGATGAGATGCATGTTAGAGAGAATGAATGAATCTTACGGAAGCCTAATTAAGAACTAAAATAAGAAGGAAGAGGAAAAATAAATAAATAGAAGAATCACAGATCAGATAATAATATAGTTGGTCTTGATTCTTGAACAGTGGCCTTAACTCTTAAGAACTCTTGTCCTCCTCCTCCTCCAAACATTCCGCCTGCGTCCGACCACCTATTCCACAGCCAAACAAACTGTTTGTAGGTATCAGTTAATGAGATTGAAAATACTCACGGAGCCAAACAAAACTTAACATCAAAATTCCTCAACAAGTGATAGAAGTAACAACCCTCTGATGCATAAATGGACAGCCAGATAGTCCGAGTGGATGATCTCCATCCCGTTTCTGGAAACATTGAATCGTGCTATGTGGTCCATTTATTGGATCAGGTCAATCCATCTGCTAGATTTTCTACAGCTACTTACATGGGGGCGGCCCACTGTCACAGTGAGCTTGAGATGGATGATCTCCATCCAGATTCCTTTCTCTCTCTTCTATTTTATATGAAAAAAGAAAGAAAGATGATTACCTGAGTTAGGGGCCATTACAGTCGGCTTCGAGATGATAGTTGGGACGTTGGTCATGGGTCCCGCTGTTGTTGGTGGGAACATGTGAGCAGGGACTCCCATCGTCTGCGGTTGATGGAAATGATAGAATGTATACATTGGCATCATACTGTTGGCGTTCACCATGCCTTGCCCCGGGTACACCTGCGTGTAGTGCCCATTCACGTAGGACCCACCGTTGTATCCTAACTTCTGTACATCACCCAAACGCTCACAATCAATCAAAGACCCCCACTCCAACGGATATTCATCATCCGGCTGAGATGCGTTGGCCCCTGGATCGTCGCCTAAAAGACGATCTGGATCCCGCCAAGCTGCCGGAAAAACAGGATCACTGATGAAGATGAAGGGCTAGATGTTGCGTATGTTGCGTTGTTGTTGATTGGGGAAATGATAAAAGATCGGCTTTTACAGCCTTGCATCGGGAACATCTCCTCATGGGAGATATTCCCAATGCAAGGCTATAATGGCTGTTGGAACGGGTTGGGGTTTTATTCACAACTTATGTATCATGAAGGAATAAACTACTTACAGGGTTGTAGCCGTAATCAGTGGCGATGTAGGTCGGAGAGTACCTGAGGGGGTTTTATTCAATGTAAGCGAGCTTATCTTTCTAATTGTAAATCAGACATCAGAGGCTTGATCGGACCGTGAAAGAGAAAGGCCATACCCGTAGAATGGAACCGCATGATGATGATGATGGTAAGGCGAAGCTGGGGTTGCCGTCGGCGTCGGGTAGTACCATCGGACCGGATTCGGTGGTGCAGATGACGTGGATCTCGGCCCGACGTTAGATCCTTCATAATCAAAACCTTGATTAAAAAAGCCAAATTTTACGAAAATTGCCACTGTGTGTTCGGTTGGCACTTCCGTAACAGAAACGATAACAATACAGACTAGAGAGAGAGAGAAAGAGAGAGAGAGAGAGAGAGAGACAAAGTACCTTGTTGAGGTGTTGACGACGACGGCGATGACCTCGGGCGACGCGCCCCGAGGGAAGCCAGGTTACAGTTAGCTCGGCGGCCATTGATCACCGGCGTCGCGTCCTCACAAGCCTTCTTCGCCGCTTCAGCATCCTTGAACGTCACCTACATACAAAAAAAAAAAAAACATCCCCAGCGTAGATTAGCTCCGGCAGCATCGGCGTGCGGTATCAGACGCCAAACCGAAAGATCCAATTCACTTACGAATCCGTAGCCCTTGGATTTCCCGGTGACCTTATCGGAAATGATGACAGCCTCCAAGATCTCGCCGTACTTCTCAAAGTGCTCTCTCATGACCTCCTTCTGCGTCTCCCATGCTAGCCCCCCGACAAACACTTTAGTAAGCGTCGTGTCGCCGAACTGACCGATATTGTTACTCATCGTCATGCCTGCCGATACGTATCCGGTATCACCTGAGCTTCGATCACGGTTACCAACTAAACTAGAACTGAAGTACTAAGCTTTCAACTCAGCTCCATTTCGTTCTGGGAAAGAAGCAGCTTTAGCTTTAATTAAACATCTAGAACTGAAAGCAAGCCTCAAGTGCAGATTACAGAGAAGCAGAGAAGACGTAAGCGGGATCCGTTGGGCTTGGACAACCAAGGAATATAAGGAGAGAGGAGAGGGGGGGTCTGGGTCTGGCAGCGAAAGGTCTTACAGCTCGGAATGGAAATAAAAAAGAGGAGGAAAAAAACATAGAGACAGACAGGCAGACAGATAGACTCCCCACGGCCATCAACGTGGTCTTGAGTCCTTTTTAACTCCTTTTCTTCGGCTCTGTAAACAGAAGCGAGATCAACACAAGATGGACCAAGTTGACGGTTGAGATTCACTGATATATTTAATTGACGAACAGGGTTGTGTCTGGAGTCTCTGGGACTCATACATCGAACTCGGCGTGCACTGCCATTTAGGACGCATGTTTTAACAATATTAAATTAATTAATAACCTCTTAAGAATTATTACATCCCGCTTAAAAAGTTGTCTATTTATTTATTTACTAATGGGTTACGATGATTATGAAGTCCAAGAGTCACTTTGTGATTATTCAGGTAAAATTAATTTTTTTAACTAAATTACAGATTACTATTCTCTACTTTGTGATAGTGACAATTACCACCTAGCTTAAACTTTCAAATTCTGATAAAGACCCTTTCCTTCAAGGCCCCGTTTTAGTTTGTGGGAATAGGGGTCTGGAACTGGAATCGAAACGTGCTATTTTGATTCCAGTTGTTTGGTTGGATGGAATCGGAATTTCATCTCATCTTAGCATTTTTTTTATATAAGGAAATTCCCTTTCTCTTTTTGGGGCATTCTTGTTGTTTTCTAATTTCTATTCCCATTTTTTTCTAAGCCAAACAGACTGAGAATGGAACATTTCAGTTCCGATCTTGGAGGATTTTGATTCCAATTCTGATTTTGATTTCAACTGCGAACAAAATAGACCATAAATTAATTAAGCGATATAAGAAATTAGGCCCCATTTGATTTGCAGGAATAAGGGTTTGGAATTTGAATCGGAATGGGGTATTCCAATTCCAACTGCTTGGTTGAGAAAAATTGGAATCTCATTTTCATTCCTAATGGAATGGCATTCCCCTGTTTGAAGCAATGGTCATTCCTTGCCCCTTTTTTGGGAATGAAACCCCATTCTTAGTGATTCTAATTTTCATTTTCATTTATGTATAAATCAAAAGAATTTTAGTTCCAACTGCAAACCAAACGAACCCTTAGTTTATCAAAATACCCAATAAATTTTTATAAAATAAAAATTAGGGATGCAAATCGGGTGGGTTGGGCCATTTTTATGATTAACCCAAGTCTAGACTGAACTCTAAGGTTTGTGCCTAAAGCCCAAGCCTAGATTGAACTCGAGATTGAACCTAATCTTCTCAACCTAAGCCTAGTCCTAGTACCAAAAAAACCAAGCCCAACCTAAGGATCAAATATGTAATGGATCCATTAGGAATCAAGTTGAGTCCGCCCAAGTTGAACCCCTTGAATATTAAAAAAGGGAGCGGATTAGCTGGAGACAAAAACATATACACCCGGCTGAACTACCTATCACGGTTGAACACACCAGTGCTCAGTATAACTGAATCCTAGATGGGGCCCACAGTGAGTACTGATGTGTTCAACTATGATAGGTAGTTCAGCCCGATGTGTATGATTTTGTCTCCAGCTCATCCGATAAGGAGAAAAAAAAGCCAAAAAGCTTCTATAAAAACCTTAAATTACAACAATTACAATATGTAAATATCAACTAAATCAATAATAAATGAAAATCGAAAAAACAAATGTTAAACTGAAATCTAATGCTCTGTTATGAGCTAATTAAAGAAATCTTTTTCAAAGTTAAATGAAATGCTAATAAAAGATGTTCTTGGTCGAAATCTGAAAGTTTTGGGGGGATTTTCATTACAATTGAAAATTCAGGGGATAATTGTCTCTACCTGAAATACAGGGTAGCAATTTGTAATTTAACTTGTATTTATTGGGAAACTTGTAAGATTAATAATAAGAGTGGTTTTAAAGAATTCGGCTTCAGTCAGGGCAATACCCGTTCGAGCACCCTTTACTGCCTTGCATTAAGAATATCTCTATCCTTTACTAGAAGATATTTACAATGCAAGGGTAAAAACGGTGTGTACACAACTTTGCCCTGATAGAAGCCGATCTCGGTTTCGAACGACAGCTAAACCCGTACTGTTAATGCGGTGCAACGATAACGGATTTATCGTACCAGACGTGCAGCCAGAGCCAGTCTCACTTCCAAAAGGCCAAATAACGTAGTCCCAGAAAACGATAAGGCCGATCTTTGGGTGATTAAAAATTTCGCTCGGGCGATGGACTTGTCCTCATCTAGTGAAATTAAAATCGTTGGATTAGCTTAAGATCCGGAGAGGACTAATCTCAAGTAGAGTTCAACGGTAGAGATAACACGGAATATGTGATCGTCATAGGGACAGTAACAGCTTACGAAATTTGGGAACTTGAGATTCTCTCAATCTCTTCTTCTGTTTGGACGGAGTGGTCAAAACGACAGTGGAACCTCATAAAATACAGGAAGGGGCCTACGTAATCCAACCGACCAAAACGGGCTCGATGCCCAACCTTCCATCTGGGGCATCGCGTGGCCCCAGTGTTTAGTGGTATTGGCGACGGTTCAATGGGCGCGGGCCATCCAATATTCCCATTCCATCTAGGATTTTATTTTTCCTATTTGTTCGAAGAAGATCAAAATCTCAGGCTCGATTGGACCAAGAACTACTATTGACTATTGGCCATCCTCCTTGTAAGTAAGTAAGATCCAACGGCTGATGTCATATTATAGATTGGAGATGTTGTATGATATTATAGTATCGGTGGGTATTTTGTTTTCGTGAAGGGGGAGATTAGTCAATTTTAGAGCGTTGACTGGCCGCTTGGTCCTGATGCTTGACAGCATGGTTTTTAAAAACGAACCGATGATCGAATCGGTCAGGGGTTCGGTTACCGGTTCAAACGGTCCGACCGTTTGACCCATTCTAATAAATAAATTAAAAAATTAGAAAATGGTCAAAACTGTTCGAATGATTAATCGTCCGATTCAGCGATTTGTTAACCAAAATCAATGATTTTGAGAAAAAAAAACGATTTTAGAAGAAAACGAAATCGATCAAGTGACCAATTCTCGATTTTTCCGGTTCAATCCGGTTTTCAAAACAGTGCTTGACAGGAAACCGAGTGAGAGAGACGGATAAAATAAAAAGGCGGGAGGCAGATCGCAGATATGGTTCTCTCTTATCTACACTGCAGGGCACTTGGGGCTGGGGTGGGGTGATGAGTCGAGTGAACAAAGGTCACGTGAGGGGTGGAGTCTCGAGTTTGTCTGTCTTCTCTCTCATGTATTTAGTGGATCACAACGTGGCCAGCTGTATAGCAAAAGGGGGCATTCTAGTATTTTGTCAAATGGAGAGGGTTAAAGTTGACCGGCAAATAAGAACCCCTTTGGGAGGACGATGGTGGTGTGAGCTGGAGCCTCACTGGTTGTGAGTTGGCCAAGGAGACAGCTGAAGCTAATAATGTTTGTTTAGAGAGAGAGGGAGAAAGAGAAGATATGTGGGCAAAAATACGAGCCAGGACGAAGAGGGGGGCCAGTTCAATGATGCCCATGGGATTAAGTTTTTAGAACAGTTACAATGTTTCATCATTAAGACAATGTATATATTTGGTTTCGACTTTCGTGGTTGTTTATTGACAGTGTTTATCATTTAAAAGTTTATTTGAAAAATATTTCCGTTGCGTATAAGTAATATTTTATAAAGTAATTTTTCTCTTCAGTTTAAAATGCATCATATAAGCATTTTGTTTCAATAAATACAGAAAAAAAAAACAAGAATTTGAAATTGGACAGATTTTTTAAGTTATTCCTACTGTTTAGTTAATTGATTAATTTTATCTTTATTATTTAATTATTGTCTTAAATCACCCCTGTTTTTAACCAATGTTATTATCGGTAAATTTTGATGAAAATGATAAAATATCAATTTTACCCTTCAATTAAATCTTGTGGGGAATAACCCTCCGATCTCCCTTCGATTTGAAAGTTACAGCTAGAGCAGTCAAAATGAGAGTGATGGAGGCGGGTTGGAGCCTCCATTCCCAGCCTTCACACATGCAAATTTATTAGAAGATTAGATGAAATATTTGAATGTCATCCAGGGAGTGGAAGGCCTTTAATCGAGTTAATATTAGCATTGTTATTTCTTTCTATCTTTTTTCTGAATAAGTAGCATTACTGTTTCTTCACTCATTAAAGTTGCCAAACCTGATGTCAAGGCAAAAAATAAGTTCCGAGCCACATCTCACACCAGATTGCAAAAACCATAGGGCCAGAATAAGCAACTTTCCTCTTAGGTCTCTGTTCAATTGTCTCTGCTAAAGAGAAATTCAATCAGACTTTTAGCTGTTACAATGTAAGAGCTGGAGGTTTGCTGCTGAAACTAACAACTTAAACCTATAAAAGACAATACTCTTGAGCTATATTTGGAAACAATGCAAATAAGTGTGAATGTAAATATGTAGAATATAAAAAGGTTTATATGAACTGTAAAGTTAGGTTAGTTTTGCTCTGATAAATTTATCATCTTATCAAACAGATTTTTAGTTCTAATGAATGCAAATATGAATTTCAATAAAGCATATGTTTTTTTATCAAAAACCCACTTGAATGCAAATTTACTTTTTTCATTATTGTACTTTTATATCTTATTATCAATGTAAATATGCATTGATCTATCATTTATCAATGCATGAATGTAATGTTGCCAAATACAAATAAAAATGAACTAGAGTGCAAATTTACCCTGAACTAAGATTTACACTCCATTTGCATCGTTTTCAAGTGCAGCCTTAGATTGTCGAGGTTATGTGAAGGACTACGTTAAGGGCGGGGATTACTTTGTTGATCTTGAAAGGGTCACGAAGGAGGCAATTGCTGATGCGAGAAGTGTCCAGTTGATTGGGGATGGGAAGGATGTCTGGTTTTTAGATATCGACAAGACCCTTCTCTCCAATCTTCCGTATTACGCCGACCATGGCTACGGGTGAGATTCTTTATCCATGGTTGCAATTCAATTTGGTGTTACTGCGATTGGTTCCGATGGATTTGATTTCTGATTATTGTTTCTTCTTCTTTTAAATTGGGGCGATGGGTTTTTGTAAGAAATTGGGTCCTCA